CCCATGGCATGCGATTCCTTCCACGACGCTTCTCGACCGTTCCAGACCACCTTGCCGTCATCCCGCGTCGGCACAGGTCGGCGCATCTCGGCTGTTTGGTGAGGGACGCCGCGCGTCGAACGGCAGTGCACTGCATCCAGGCCAGAGGCGAGTCTCACCGACGAGCGAGTGTCGTAAAGACGGCTGAGTGCCCTGTTTGTGTCGTGCTGGAAGGTGCGATGCGTGACGTGGAAGCCGGCGCCGGGAATCGTGTGGCCTGGCCACCTGGCGCTCTCGTGGCCGGCCGTTGCCTCCGCGAATCCTCTGATCTTCCGGCCTCCGTTGTTGGGCCTCCGTAGCTCTACCTCGAGCGCAACGCCTATACTACTCTGCTCATATTCCTCCTCTTCTGCAACCTACGATTCGCCGTCCAACTCAGTCCGTGATGGCAGAGGTATACACGTCAGCAGCGAGCCCGTGGGATGTCACCGCCAGCCACCACCGCCACCCTACTCCCGTTGCTGTCAGAGCCTGACTGCGATGCCCGAGACTGACGGGCCGTACGGCCGTGGTCCCTTCGCCACTTCCTGCGGACGATCCGTACGTACCCTAATACTGACGAGGGTTCTGCAGATCTGACGAATTCCGACGGTTCTTCTCTATGATATATGATACGGCTCTCAAGTCCCGCGGGCGCCAGTACCCCGCTTGCCATCATCCCTCGTGGACTCTTGGCTCTCGACAACGTCCGGTTATGTACCGCCCCCAACTCCGCAACATGGTGCTTGGGCTTGATTCTGCGCGTCCGAGATCTACCGGTGCCGCTGACCATGTGCGACCAATATGATGCGGCGTATTGACGCGGTGCGGCGTGCTGACGAGAGGTGTGCGTGGCTCGGGTTTGAGAGTCGCAGCGCATGTTGGGAGTGCAAGGGTGGGCCAACAATCCTCACCTCGTTGTATGTTGCCTGTACCAAGCTCGTTCAAATCCTCCTGGTATCGCATGCATCCGACAGATGGGTCATGCGGCGCGAGTCACTCACGAACTCTCATTACCCAATTTGACGGGCTTCCTACCGCAAGGGGGTCCATCCTCTTCCCGCACTGACCGCCCTCCACTCAAACCACCGTTCTATTGATCGCCCATTGATCGCCCCATCGCACCTCCGCTCTCTTCTCTACCAAAGGAGAGGCTATTTATCGTATCGCGCCACGGCGCCCAGCGCAGGTCGACACCAACACACAAAGGACGGGCCGCGATGGTGCGACCAGGAGACGGTGGCTGAAAGGTGCGCGATGGTTATCCTGCTTTCAACTGACTGATCGCCTTGGCGATGCGCCCCTTGATAAGCATGATGCTCTCTCTCTGTTCCCGGTTTGTCACTGAACCCCATCCCTCGGTCATCTCTGTACGCTTTATCTCTCCTCCCCTCAAAGCTATCAAACTACACATCGCCCGGCTCGATGACGACACTCTTTACAGCGACTGTACTCTTCTTGGCTTCGGCTGCCCCACTGGCTGGGGCATCTGAGGTCTTATTTGAGATGGACAATGCGGTGGGCACTGTGTACGTTGATCAAGCCTGCTTTTGGGACGTGGACAGAGCTGACAAGCCGCGGCAGGTATTATGATATTGGGTGGGATACGACCGGAGACAGGTGTGCTCCAAGGTTTGGAGCCGGCTGGGCACCTAGCCAAATAGGGCATCCGGGGTGTGCGCAGAACGGGCCCACGCAGGAGGAATTGGGAACGAACAGAATCGTCGGTGAGTTACAACCACCACGGCCCTCCTAAGCATTCGCTGGTTAAGGTTTCGCCGTCTTCGATAGCCATGAACCAGACCTGGATGGAAGGCGACAAGAGCGCCTGGTGTGGGAAAGAGGTGAAGGTGTTCACAGAAGACGGGAAGGAGATAGAGTATGACGAGCCACTGGTGCTGTGGGACACCTGTGCGGAGTGTGCCATCCACGTCAAGATCGACTTTGCAGGCAAGCCCTCGCCCAGCACCCTCTGCCCCCAGATCCTGATAGCTAACGTCCAGGCCACCACAGTCGACCCGTACCTCAAGCTCGCCCCCGACGGCTGCGGCACCCAAGCCGTCAACCCCGCCGGCCTCAAAGTCCAAGTCATGGACAACCAAATCTGGGCGCCCGCCCCCGGCTCCGAGTCTTACAGCCCCACCTCCGCCTCAACCCTCTACACCGGCGGGGTGTACAACCAGCCCAAGACGGGCGAATTCCTTACTAGCCCGTGGGGAGCTACGATCAGTGGGGACGCGGCGAATGATCCGGTGGTGATCAAGACGGCGAGCAGCGGTGGAGGTGGAGGGGGTGGGGGGAGTAGCGGTGGGAGCAGTGCTGGGGAGCCGACGGTGACGGCGACAGCCACGGGCGGAAGTACGGGGGCCACTTCTGCGGGAGGGGAGTCGTCTCAGGCTACAGGGAGCCATGAGGAGGCTGTATCAGGCCCCACCGCCACCGGTGCTACCACCACCGCCGCAACATCACAGGACACTGTCGTACCCCCCACCTCGGTCGCGGACCCAGCTACGACATCAGCCCAGTCATCAGCAGCCCCTACCACAGTAGAAGTCACATCTGACGCGGCACAGCCGACCGCGACAGCGGCCGGAACTACCGGTACCGCCATAGCCGCCGTTGAGGGGAAGTCCACTTGTACGGGCGACGACGGGCAGACGTACCAGCCGGGGGACAATGTTTGCCAGGGGAACAACTTGATGGTGTGCGCCTACACTACTTCGGGGTCTACTAACGTTGGTGAGCAGGAGAGCACTATGGGTGGTGAGGGTGGTTCGAGCTGACTTGAGGTGCAGACTGGATACAGCAGAGCCCATGTGCCAAGGGCTGCTCGATCGAGTGCGGGATGGTCAGTTGTCTCACGTAACCAGTGAAGGAGATACTGGTGGTGGTGGAATAGGTCGGCGCAGTTCTGTACACCCCGTCGATGCATATCATATACCCTCTGCTATGGTCTAAGACCCGTGCCACAGTGTTAATACACCAGATGCGGAGCTGCTTGGCACAAGTGCATCTCATGTCAAGCCCTTTTCACAGATAGATTATCTTCTTACACTTCTCGCCGTGTCCGCTGCAGGGGCCGTTTGATGCTCGTCAGATCAGTGACCACCTTTGATCAATCCCTCCGCTGCTGTTCAAAGGACATCCCTTATCACCTCACACGAAACGTACCTAATCACGGTCATCGGCAATATGGCCTTGTCAGGCGATAGACTCACAGGTGCATAAAAGGTTGGAACAAGCGGTCCGATACCCATTTCCGCAGGTCGGCATCGTACACCCCGCTGTTCAAGACTCGTCAGAATGACAACCACACTCTTTAAGACTACGCTCCTTACCCTGTCTGTCGCTACGCTGGTCGTGGCCGACACCCTCTACGTCGCCGAGGGCGTCACCGGTACCTAGTCAGTCGCTCACCTTTTTCGCTGTCCCCACCTCAGCCTCAGCTGACCTTGGGACAGTTATTACGATTACGGGTACGAGACGACGGGGGACCGTTGTGCCGGAAGAGGATCGGGGAGTGGCACTCTTTCGGCTGTACCGTACTGCGAGAACAATGGGCCGACGTATGAGACGCTGGCTACAAACAGAATCGTTGGTGAGTCTGGTCACGCATAGAATGGGAGTCGGAGTGCTTCGGCTGACGATGATGGGGTAAGCGTTGAACCGTACGCTCATCAACTCTGACAAGAGCGCTTGGTGCGGGAAAGAGTGAGCGGCATGTCAGCTTCGTCCTGACGCAATCAGCTTACATGTTGTATCGTTAGGGTGAAAGTGTTCACGGAGGATGGGAAAGAGGTGGCCTTTGACGAACCACTCGTCGCGTGGGACGTATGCGAGGCCGCTGAGACCTCCCCCATCGCTGACTTCAGCGGTGAGCTACCCCAGCAATCACAGCACCTCATCAGTTCCCACTGACACTCTCCACAGTCGACGCATACCTCAAGATGATGCCCAACGGCGACTGCATGGCCAACAACGGCAACAACCCCACCGGCCTCCGCATCGAGATCACCGACAACCAAATCTGGGCCCCGGCCCCAGGCTCCGACTCTTACTCCCCCACCGCCGCCGCCACCATCTACCAAGGCGGCGGATACAACGGCGTCAACCCGACAGGGACGGTCATCCCGCCGTGGAAGGTCGGGACGATCACAGCGGCAGGGGGGCAGCAGCCGGCGCCGGCGGCGACGACGGTGCAGACGCAGCAGACGGGGGCGGTGACTTCGGCGGGTGGGGGTGGGGTGCCGACGACGGTTACGAGCGGGGCGGCGGCGGCGTCCGATACGGCGGTGGCGGCGGTTGCAGGAGGAGCTGGTGGATGTGATAACAAGGGGGACCTGCAGTGTCAGGGGAACGCTCTGTATATCTGCAACTACCAGTCCAACAGCCCGGACGCTTTGGGTAAGTGCGATACCAGGTCGTCATGGATAGGACCCGGGATGGTGAGGGAATGAGAGGAAAGGGCACTGACAGCGACTACCCACAGCCTGGCAGAAGCAGTACGACTGCCCCGGTGGGTGTGACGCAGACGCTCAGATCAAGTGCAAGTCCCAGAAGAAGCGCTCGGGGTGATCGCCCTGTCGGTCGTTGGCGCACCATGTTGCGGACAAAAACGTGGTGGAGCAGTAATGGCTGTGCGATTGATACTGTTAGCATTCAATAAAGTAGTCAGCGACATGCAATCGTGTATAGAAGCAGCGTCGCCCCAGCCCAGAGCCATTCTGCTGCCAGCGGGCGGAGAAACCCTACTCAGACTTGTCATGCGTGACTTGGGCATACAAAAAACGTCACAACCAAGCCAAACGGTCGATTATATCAGTTGGTTTAGATAGTGGAGCTAATAATCAAACAAGTTATTACTCCAAGGTCGGCGGTTCGATCCCGTCATCGATCATTTGCTTTTTGCCTTTTTGCTTCTCTCTCATCTTCTCTTGCACTCCCCATACAGCTCCGCAAAATTTCGAAGCGACAGCCTCACAGGTCGATTATATCAGTTGGTTTAGATAGTGGAGCTAATAGTCATACGGTCTCTTACTCCAAGGTCGGCGGTTCGATCCCGTCATCGATCATTATCTTTTACTTTTTGGACTTCTCGGGGGGTCGTCTATCGGTGGCGGGTGATGCGACAAAGAGGTGTCTCTGTGGGATGGGTGGTGCGCAGCTTTTTTGGCTGGTAGCCGGCTTCGCGCCGCCAAAGGACCCCAAAATGTGTGTGGATGCGTCGCGGAGACCAGGTATCGCTCGCTCCTCGGCCACTTCCTACTCCTATGATCCACCAAATAATCAAAGTCCCCGTCGTTTTGAATCTATACATCAAGCAAGATAAGTATAAGACCAGATATGAAGCAAAGATCCACCCGAATACGTATCTACAACGACCTTTTCCAGATCGACAATCCCCCAAGCGTGACAACTGTAGCTCTATCGGTCTCCTCGGACAAGTTCAACTTTAAGATAACTTTGCGGCTCCGACAACTTCACTGTCTCCCCACAGACCAACACTCTAGTACCCCATAGCCTCCCTCCCGGACCTGCTGGGAATATCACCTCGGACCCGCTTCCCCTCCACGACGTACAGCTCCTCGCCCTCCCCGCCGACGCCGGGGGGCGGCACCCCCTTCTCGAAGCTCTCCTTCTGCTTCACCACCCACTCCTCGTTGCCCTGCCTCGCCACCGGGTGGACGGGCAAGAACACCTGCCCAGCAGGCTGGCTCGCAAGCGGGAGCGCTGTGTGGTGGAGGAACAAGTCCCCCGGGGCAAGCTCGGGGAGGACGACCTCCGTGCCAGCCAAGTGAGGGAGGTCCGGGTGGGTACGGGTCTCCTTAGCGGGGGGGTCGAGGACCCAGTTGGACGGGTCGAGGTAAGAGCCCGAGTCGTAGAAGGAGATCTTGGACTTGAGTGGGCGGAAGAGGGGACGGAGGAGGGCGTAGGTGGAGGCGTGGATGGAGGGCGGGAGGAGGGTGTCGCGCGGGGCGGCGCCGGTGGGGCTGGGGAGGAGCGGGGTGAGCGCGAGGTGGGAGAGAAGGGCGCGCGGGGCAGACCAAGGCGCGGAGGGGTTCGGGGTGGTGCGGAAGGGGGAGAGACCCTCGCGGATGGTGTCGGCTTGGACGTAGACTTCCTGCCCGAGGAGCGCTGCGGCGAGCTGGGCGTTGGCCGAGAGCACGGAAGGGTCGGCGCGGGCAGCAAGGAGAGACAGGTGCCAGTAGATTGCTGGGTGGGCGGAAGGCGGGGTCAGCGGTCTGTGCGTGACGAGGAACGATGGAAGAGTGGGGGATGGAAGTAATCGACACAGGAACGGGGGCGTGGGGCGCGGAACGGAACTCACCTCGACCGCCGGCATCGCTCACTGCCTGAAGGATGGCTCGTGCCCACTCGATAGCCTCGGCGTCGGGGACGACATCTCGCACGACGACGGCGCCGGTGGTGCGGATGGCGTCGACGGCAGACTCGGACGCGAGGTGGCTAGACAGCGCGTAGAACTCCATCTGGGGAATCTGATTCTGGCGGAGAGAGTCAGCTACGTCCGACGACCATTACCATAGCAGCTCACTCACCCCGGACGCCTTGATGTTCTCGAGGCCCTCGATGGCCTCCCTCCACATCACCTCGACCTCCTTCCTCGCGGAATCGCTGCTCAGCACCCCCTCCGCCCACTCACTCCAGCCGTCTACACGCGCCTCGCGCTGGTGCAGTTCATACTTGACAGCAGCCTTGAGTCCGCGGCCCCTCGTCTCGTGAAGCGGGAGAGGCAGGCCGTGGGCGGGCGCCGCGGTGTAGGAGTAGGGAGGGCGAAGAGTGGTAGGGGTGGTAGGGTTGTAGGTGTGAGAGTAGGGAGGGACGAGCCGGGAGGCAGATTGGGAGGAGGAGGGAGGGTGAGCGGCGAGCGAAGTGAGCAGGCGACGGATGGCCATTGTGCTTCTTAGCTGGCTGATCAAGAGATGGCTGATGCGATGGGAGGCAGCTCTACAGAAGAGCGTGAGAGGTGGCTGCTTTTAAGTTGCGGCAGTTGACAAGGACGTTATCTAAACGAAGTCTTATCGCTCGTTGCCGTGTGCTCTTGGGGGTGGGCGGCGAGGATGGTTCTCGGTGCAAGTGGCAGGGTGGGGGAGACGTTGTGTGACGGTGATGGTGGTGATGACGGGAGGGACGCCGGCGGCTTTGTCTAGGTTGTCGCGGGGCAAAGGAGGGTAGCCGTGAAGCCTTTTTGTCGGTGCGAAGAGGCGCAGGAACTATAACGATACAGTAGTGGAGGAGTCGAGAGACAGGAGACGAGAAGGACAATACGACGACCGAGGTCTTTTCTATAGAGGACGCTGAGCAAGCAAGACAGTCTAAAGAAGAGGAGTGCAGACGCGCGGCGCAATCACGCCTTTGAACGCTCCTGGGCTCCTGCCTGCTCCGGCACCTCGGGCGAAAACTTTGTCGGCCCTGCGCGACGACTTTGCCGAGGGCGAGCGTCCATGAGTGAGCTCCGCCGACCTCCCGGCTTCTCGGGAGCAGGCGTCCACCCCTCGCGGCGCATACATACCCGACCCGGCATCCTTATAGGCTACCAATGCAAGGAGTGGGCTCCTTGAACTCCCCCGAGCCATTGCCGCGGAGCTCTGGATACATACCCTTCGGACCGGGTGGACGCCGAATGACGAGGCGGCTTACACCATACCGCTCACCGGTAGAGCTCCTCAGCCCCCTCTGCACTTGTATAGCCAAGCAATGATATCGCTGGACCCCAGCCTCGGCACGTGTATATATTCATTCATATCCTAGCTGCATCTCAACAACGAAACGTGACAAGGCGAGGAGTCAAGGATGAGAGGGCCCAAGAGACGAGGGCAAGCCGTGAGGGTGGGGTAGCTGTGGAGGGAATAGAGTATAGGAACAAAAGAGGATATAAGAGCTAGTTATAGGTACATGTATGTAAGCAAGAGTCCGCTATAAGATGCCAGAGTCACGGAGGGCATTCTGAAGGATGGTTTCCTTGACCGCGGCAAAGACAAGACGGATCTACAGAACATGGCGGGTCAGTTCAACATCCAATGTTGCGGACGGAGGAACCCACGTTGGACGTGTCGGTGGCCTGGGTAAGGTGGGGGTAGACCGACAGCCTCGCTCGGTTGGTCTGGGTGAATCTCCACAAGATGTACTTGGCCGCCTTGTTGATGTCCGCGCCACCTGGTTACACATCGTCAGGGGACGTTCTCACACTCGGACCTTCCAAGGCCGGCTCACCGGTGTACTCTGGGAAGTACTGCACAAGAGGGACCTTGGGCAGCTTCTGCTTGAACAGGTCGATCTTGTTGAGGAACAGGATGACGGATGTCCGGAGGAACCATCGCGAGTTGATAACAGACTCGAAGAGCACGAGCGACTCTTGCATACGGTTCTGTGCGCATGCCCAATCAGCATCTGCCCGATTCCTATGGAGCAAAAATAACTCACCTGCCCAGACTCCTCGAGCAGCACCTGGTCGTATTCAGAAAGCGCAACACAGAAGATAATCGACGTAACAGCCTCGAAACCTGCACGCGACAGTCAGCGCCCGGACCCACACCCAGCCGTCCGTCCCATGTCCACTCACAATGAATCCACTTCTTCCTTTCACTCCTCTGCCCGCCCACATCAAACATATGAATGCTCAACTGCCCCATGTTGAACCTCGTCTCGCTGATACCCGTCGTCTTTGTCCTCGCCCGCAGCACGTCCGCCTCGTCGGGCACATAGTCTGGTGCCGCAATCTTCCTGATGTTGGCGAAGAAGTAGGTCGCAGAGTCCATGAGGTAGAACTCGGAGCTACGGTCCATGACAGCCGGGATGACGGGGTCGTGCCACAGGGACTCGATGTTGTGCAGGATCTCGCTGGGCACGACCGCCAGGGGGTCCGCGTCCATGCGGAACTCGAGGATACGGTCCGCGTAGCTCTGCACGCGTGGTCAGTGGAAATCCCCTCGACAATGGCCACGCGCCAACTCACCCGGTTGTTGGCGTCCTCGGGGTCCACACCAATCTTCCTCATTGCCATGATCAACGCCTGCGCCGAGTCGAGCACGTTCTTGTGCACGATCTGTCGGAAAGTGAGGAGCTCGTCGCGCGAGTAGCCGTTCTGGTGGATAATCTTCATCTGCTTGACGATGGTCGACTTTCCAGACTCGCCGGATCCTGCAGATGAGTCAGCAGGAAGTCCACCTAGCACACCTTCGAGCGCCCATGAGAGACCTCCACGAGCACCACTTCACGCCCCGTCGCGCCATTCGGCCGACCTCCGCCACCAACAAAAACCACACCACTCACCCAACAACAAGATCTTGCACTCCTTCCTAAACTTTTTCGAGTCGTCCTCCAGCTGCCTGTCGATCAAATTGCTCCTATCCCGATTCCCTCTCTGGTCTGGTCCGGGCTCCGTCGACGCCAGCGCTGCCGCCAAGCCCTGGTCGCGGCTTGCGCCATTGGCCGAGGGCGCCTTGCCCGCCGCCTCGCCGTTTGCAGCTGTGGTCGGCGACGCGCCGGGGCTGCTTGAAGCAGGCGGTGATTTAGGGGCTGAGGACGAGGCAGGTGCGTTCACCTGCTTCGTCTCGGGCGCCTTTTTAGGTGCTTCGGGGGTGGACATACAGCCGCCCATCGTGGATGCTGGATTGGACGGTAGGGGTTGGGAGAGAGGTACGAGGCGAGGGGAGCGGCGAAAAGAGAGGGGAGTGGCGGGGGAATGGGGGTAGCGGAGTGGCGGGGAGGGTGGTGCGTTTGCTGTCGGTGTGCGGGGGGAAGGCGGAGAGAGATGGGAGGAGGATGGGGTGTGTGAAATTATCTGCCTGCGTAGTTTTCGTTAGTGTGGTTCAAGCTCGGACGGAGCAGCCAGAGTTGCCTCTGGTCCGAGATGCCATCCCGACGCCGGCGCCAGCATACCCTCCATGGATAGCCCGCTGCATGCATGCCCACCAGCAGTAGTGATCCGTGGCACGGCACACCTGCAGCCATGCATAGCGCCGACGGGAGGAGACTGCGAGAATATGCACTCACCAAGCAAGACTCAGACAAGGTTTTTCCCGGCGTCCCCCATTCCTTTGTACAGTGTCGG